TTGAAAATAAGTTGAGATTGTACTTGTTAAATACGAATTGTAAAAATTCAATGATCTTTTCAAATGTATAAAATATTTATTTTTTCTTCGAAGAATAAAAACAAACGAATCTATTTATATTCGACGCATTATTTATGTTAATTGATTAATAATTATAAAGTTACCGACAATAATAAATTATCGTTACAATTCTATCGTTAAAAATTGAAGTGTCGAAAGATATAGACAAGGCAACAACATATTTCAGTAATACAAATATCACTACTAAAACATATTGCATACACGCAAAGTTTCCAACAAAAATAGAACTTCTCAATTTTGCAATACTTTTTAATTCGAAAAGTTGAGAAATCATGCATTCCCTCGATGCAAATTTATGCATCACAATATTCATTGTGCGTTACGTCCCGTGGAATAGGATGATCGCACAGTAAATTGTGGTAAACGAACTTCGACATCGTATTTTTCGGGAACAAATTTATGCGTACAGTAATCAGTAATAAGCCTTTAAGCTCAATTAACAAATTGCATCATAAAAAACTGACGGAAATTATGATTCGAATAAAACTTTATCAGCATGGATTAATTATTATCTAGTATATTAAAATATTATTTTGAGAAAATAATTAATATTTAAATAGTATTATTATTTCCTTCATTTTTTTAAAAAAGAATTTTCTGATGAGTTTTGTTTTATTCCCAATCAAAATTCAATACATTAAAAAATTCTGAAACTTCGAAAATTCGTTTCAAATAAATTTTCCATTAATAAAAAAAATACTCTAACAATTTTTTTAAAATAAAAGAAAACGTATAAAAATTTGAAATATAAAATCTATTATTTTTCGTAGAATTTTCAAAAGTTAATTTAATATGATTGATTTACGATTTACGCCAAAAATTTTCCAGATCATTATCGTCTGAAATTTATCATCCGCAATTTGAAAAGATATCTCAAATACCTAACCTATTTCCATATCAAAAATTTCAACCGACTCTAATGTGCTCTTTTCACGATATGTATGAATACAAAATAGTTCTTTTCCTCCCGGTTTCCTGTTGCTTCAAAAAGTTGAAGGTATTTCAAGATTCCGTTACTTCCTCTGGAAATATCGATAAAACGATTGCACAATATGGAGGACGGGAACAGTGAATTAACAATCGACTTTCTTATTCTCCTTTCCTGTTCTCCTTTTCCTCCGTGACGTTAATTAAGAAGAAAGTCGGGAAACGGTTCGAAGGAAAGGGGGGAAAAGGAAAAGGGACGAAAAGAACACACAAAGTGTGAAAAAAAAAAAAAAAAAAAAAAAAA